AGCGAAGAGTTGGCGCCACCGCGCCTGCTCTCGCTGACATCGTCCGCCAGGTGCCATGGGCCGCCAGCGTGGATGGGGGCGCGCTGGCATCGAAGTCGCCCATGGCGATGAAGAGTCCTTGCTGGGGCGCTGCTGCTGCCCAGTTCCGCGAGGCATGCGGCGCCTCGGCCGCTCTGCCCATGTCTGCTGCCGCCAAGTCATGGTTGTGCACGTTCATAATGAGCGCCTCGAAGCCCACGGTGTGATTGGCGACGTGCAGGACTGCAACGCGACCGCGGGTAACTCGCCATAGCGACGTTGATGTAGAGGTCGATGTAGGTGTCGGAACCAAAAAAGCCACTCCCCCTTTGCCGCGGTTGAAAGGGCAGCCGCTGACATGTATTTGTTAATCGTAAGGAGGTTTGCCGATGTGCGATTCCAAATCTAATTGCGCGCCGCGTGCTTCTTGCAGGGCAATCAGGGCCTGCTTGCGCATGAGGGGGGTAATCTGCTTTATCCCCCCCCCCATCTCTTGCGATCATCATGACAAAGAAGGCCCCTGACACCCCGACAGATGCAATTACCTGCGGCCTCTGAGGCAGTAGGTCCGGTAGTAATCCGCGCCGGCTTGTCACGACGAGTACGTGAGGATGTGCTGCTGGAACTGGAAGAAGAAGATGAGCTGTTGGAAGTGGAAGGAAGAAGAATAAGAAGACGAGCTGCTGTAACTGGAGGAAGAGGCGGTGCCCGATGATGGACTGAATCCCGGGGCCGAGGCCACCTGAGTCTTGTCGGTCTTCACCGGGCGATCTTGCCCTGGAAGAAGAAGGGCTTGAGCTGGGTGAAATATGTTATGCTGGGGGAGAAGTGCCGCTGCAGGGCTCTCCAGGCCTGTGAAGACTGACAGATGATCTGGAGGGCTCTCCAGCCCCTCGGGGCGGGGGCAACAGGGGCGCCCCGACCCCCGTGCGCCTGTCGTCGCGGCGCGGCCTGCGCGGGGTGAAACCCGCGACGCCGCGGAGCTTGCCAGAGTTCCGTTGGGGCGCGCGCAGGGAGCTGTGGGGCGCCAGCCGCGGCAGGACAAGGTGGGGCCTGTTCAGCAGCTGGTCGAAGGTGCTGTAGAGGATGCGGTCGCTGCCCTGCAAGTAAGTCAGGCCCAGGAGGTCGCGCGTCATCAGCGTCAGTTGCAGTCGTCCAACATGGCAACCAGCGTTGGTTAAATCCACGACGCTGTATCCTCGGCTTTGTAGAGGGCGGCAAGTCCTGCAGCGATAGTGGCCTTGTTGATGGGGACCTTGGCCATCGCATCTTGGTTCCAACGAATGATGGTAGCCGCGTCCATGCTAGTGAGCTCCAGTTTGGCGGTGGGGATGGCGTTGCAGAATACACGCCCCTGGTCGCGACGAGCGCGCCAATCCTGCGCAGGGTTGTGGGGCTGGCAGAGGGCGAGCAGCTTTTTAGTTTGAGTTTCCATTCTGATGCGCTTGATGTTCTTGTCTGGGTTGACGTAGAGCGGAACGCGCTGGCCATTGTTGATGGCACTGTCGGTAGGCGTCTGAACTGCGAACTGTCTGTAGCCACCGCGGCCTGGTATATGAAGTGCCCGAGCAAGGGCCACTGATTTGGTGATGGCGACTGGGCGTCCTCCATGGAGTTTTAAAAGGAAACGCCGATTCGGTCCTTCTCCATGAATCTGAAACTGCCGCGGAGCCACATCTGCTGCGGCGAACCCCTCGACGATGGCGATGCGAACGGCGGCTGCGGCGACGGGCCGCGCGCAGGAGAGAACGAAAATGGCGGGATCTGGCTCGCGATCCCAGTCCGATAGTGTGGCCACGTCCAATATGGGTGCCTCTGCTTCGCCGAGGCTGAGCTGCTGGTTGATACGCTGGATTGCACTCCAGATCTCCTGGTGCTGGGATTATTGCTTTGCTGCGGTCTTGATCCCCATGAGATCTTGCTTTTGGCCGTCCAATCTGCGAGTAGTAGCTGCTTCATGTCGCTGTAGTGCAGCGAGAAATTGAGCCTGCGAGGCTGAGACAGTGTTGCCGACGGCTGTTTTGATGGCGGCGAGCTGCGATGCCATGATCTGCTCGAGCTCGTGCTGAAAATATGAAGCGAAATTTGACTGTGGCCAAGGTGTTTCTGTAGGCGCGGCTGTGCTTTATTATGCTGGAGCTGGGGCTGGAGCTGATGCCATCGGTCCAGAACTGGCTGCGGCGGCAGTTGAAGCTGTTGTAATAGGAAAGTGTTGCAGAGCTTCGCGTCGATCTCGTTCTCGCTGAGCTCGATGGTCTTGCCATTGTGCTTGTTCTTGCGAGGGGAAAGTAGGTGCTGCCTCCAACTCTTCAAGGGCAGCTCGTTGCCAGGCTTCTCGGGTAGCAGCTGAGTGAAATCCTTGAGGGGCTCCACAGGCTTCGCGTGCGAGAGGTCCTGTATAACGTCCACACTGTCCTTTGTACGGCTGGCATGCTCCTTCGGAAGAAGATCACGGTCACGGTCTCTATCTCTCTCACTGCGTCTTTGATCGTGTCTGTGTCGATCGCGTCGGTGTCCACTGGCTTGGCTTCTGCTTTTGGAGTCGCTTCGGGGAGATGCTGAGGCAGAGTATGTGTCCATTCGGAAATGTTGAACAACGCAAGACCACGTACCGCCTGTCCGATGCCAAGCGAGAGAAGAGCCAACCCAACGACATGCAATTGAATAACTTGAACTAGTAATTGTGCGAATGCTGACTTCGTACTGCTGATATGGACCGGCTCCGCAGGCTGGGCAGCCGAGGCGGGCCAGTGGGGTATGGAAAGGAACAGGGCTGAACGGCAAGCTGCATTGGGAAATGTTTTACTTGAGCCAAAACGGTTTGAGTCAAAATGGTTACGGAGGAGGAGGGGGAGGAGGAGGGACCAGGGCGCTGTGCCGGTATCTCCTGCAGCCCAAGCGGCCACTCACACAAAGCAAAAAGGCATCGCAGAGAGGAAAAGAGAGAGAGAGAGAGAAAGGGAGAACAAACGACAAGCCGCAGAAGAGGGGCATGCACAATCATGAAAAATACCATGGGGCCAAGAGGGGAATCTGTACCAAGCCCTCCGCACCAAGATGACCTCCGAGACAGCCAGCAGGCCCCCACGAGGAAACCAAAAAGTCCCAGAAGGCCCCCGACAGGCCCAAAATAGCCTTCGACGCATCCCCTGGAGCTGCAGAAGCCTTCCTCCCGTGGCGAGCGCTCGCCCGCTGAAGGCACACTGACGTTCTACTGATAAAGGCGGCCTCCAAGATGCCCCCGTCCGTGGATCGGACGGGCCAGGCTCAGGCATCCCACATGCCGTGCCAGGGGGATCCCTGGCCGTCCGCGAGGCGTTCCCCGCCCTCCCGCCCGCAGCGAGTCCGTGAGGCAACGCAGGCAGGCTGAGCGCGCCACCAGCGGCGAGGCCTCGTCCGCCGCCTGCTTCTGCCCAGCAGCACGCCTGCGTGCCCCTCCTCTCCCGAAGCCGCGAGGACAGCGGGCGCGGCGCTCGGACCGACCCCTCCCTCGCGCGGCTGCGCCCCTCTCCCTCGCGAAGTGCCCCCCCCCCCCCCCCGCGACAACCTGGAGAGCGACGGCCCAGAGCGCAGAGCATCGGGGGATGCAGTGGTCAAACTGTCTTTGGGTTGGCAGGTCTGCGGCCAAAACGCCACCTCGGGGGACGAGAAAGTGTACTCAGCAAATCCCACGTGGGGAACGCCCGCACGAGGGTGGCTCAACCCCTCCTTCCGTTTCCTCCTCCTCCTCCTGCTTCTCCTCCTCCTCCTCCTCCTCCTCCTCCTCCTCCTGAGCAGCAGCAGCAGCATCAGCGTATGCACCGTCCGCATCATCATCCTCAGCAACATCCTCGGCATCATCATCATCATCATCATCATCATCATCATCATCATCATCATCATCAGCAGCATCATCATCATAAGTATCATCAGCATCGTCGTCATCAGCATCAGCATCAGCATCAGCATCATCATCATCATCGCCCTCTCCATCATCATTATCACCATCATAGCCAGCATCATATCATAATCATCATCCACCTCATCATCATGATCATCAGCATCAGCCGTACCATCAGCATACTCATCATCATCAACACCATCACCATCAACAGCAACATCATCATCATCCTCATACTCACCACCATCATCATCGGCAACAAGTTCATAATAACCATACTCATCAGAACCATAATCAGCATCGGCACCAGCATCATCATCACCATCAGCAGCAGCAGCCATCATCATCAGCATGAGCAAAATCACAATCAGCATCGTCATGTTCAGCATCGTCACCATCAGCATCACTGTGCTCAGCATCCTCATATGCATCCTCGGCAGCATCATCATCATCATCATCCTCATCATCATCATCATCATCATCATCATCATCATCATCATCCCTCGCATCATCATCATCATCATCAGCATCACCATCATCATCGTCACCATCATCATCATCCTCAGCATCATCATCAGCAGCATCATCACAATAATCAGCTTCCTCGTCACCAGCACCATCATCATCACAATCATCATAATCATCATCGTCGTCGGCAGCACCAGCAGTAGCAACACTAGCATCAGCAACGCCACCACCGCCGTCACCATCAACATCATCAGCATCATCAGTCTCATCAGCATCATCGGCAACAGCAGCATCAGCCGCAACAAGATGAATACCCCTCATCCGCATTCCTCCTCATCCTTTTCCTTACCCTTTGCTCCACGATCTTGCTCCTCATCCCTACACATTATCATTGGGCCAGCCGCAGGTGCGTCAGACCTGTCTCGTCCTGTTCGTGGATGCCCAAACTCCTACGCCGCATCGCGGCACCCGATCAAAGCGACGGCTGCTAGATACTGTGCTGTTCAATGGGGCAGCGGAGCCGCCCCAGCGGTCCTCCTTCTCTTCCTCCTCCTTCTTCTCCTCCTCCCTCTCCTCTCATCATCATCCTGTCCTTGTCGTCGACGTCATTCGACTGCAGGAGCGCTATGTTTTCTCACAGGCCACAAACTTCGAGGAGCCGGGGAGAAGCGAGTGCAGCTGCAGCAAGGGGGCAGCTTGGCCAACACGAGGGAGGACCAGGGGAAGGGAGAAGGACGAAAGGACGGGGGGAGGGGGATCCTTCTCGCGGCCGTCATCCCTCTCAAAGTCTGCCATTATCTCTCGGACACTCTCCTCTCTCTCTCTCTCTCTCTCTCTCTCCCCTGATCCGCCTAGAGCGGCGCGCGAAGAAATCGCTGCAGAACACACCTGGGTGTCCAGGCAGAAAGGCGCATTTATCTGAAATCTTTTGGCGGCGAGGCTGTGGGCCTGCCAAGCAGCTCCCGTCTTGGTTCCTCGGTTCCCGAATCTTGGTTCCTTGGTTCCTTGGTGATGGTCCCTGTTGCTGTCTCGCCAAGCAACGCCAAGTATTGCATAGCAATGCATAGCAATGCCACGCAATGCCAGCCACACCAACCAACGCCAAGCAATGCCACGCAATGCCAAGCAAGCACTTCCACGCAATGCCAAGCAATACCACGAACTGCAAAAACAATGCCAATCAATATGCCAAGCGATGCCAAGCATTGCAACGCAATGCGCCCATGCAATGGGAAGCTCTCCCCCAATTGGGGTCGCGTCGGGTTCATTTTCGTGGCGCGCTGAATGTGAACCGCGCGGCCACCACAAGCGCTGGAGACGACAGCGAAGACGTGCCAGGTAAAGAGGACGAGGATGCGGGGCGGCAACGAGCGTCTGCATTCCGTCGGCAGTCACAGAACCAATCAGACCTTCTTCTCCCCAACCAGCGGCGTGGCCTCGCTGTCGATCTGCGTCTTGCCCAGCGGAGCGCCTGGGAACGGGCCGTAGCCAATTCCCAACATCGTCTCGAAGGTCTTCACCGCAGGGTGATCTGGGAAGACCTTCATGAACGACCAGAAGAAGACCCCGCTGAGCGTGACTGTGAAGGAGAGCCACTGGCTAGCGGTGATCGAATCGTGAAAAAACACAGAGGAGAAGACGACCAGGGCAATGTCCTTCACCACTCCAGTAATGATGAACCCCACCGCCGAGGTCTCCTTGATCACCTGGGCGATCATCACATTGAGGCAGAACGCGATGCAGGCGTTCGGGATGAGGTAAGGCCACCATACTGCCAAGTCGGTGATGACAGAGTGGTCCCACGTGATGGCGTTTCCGATGCCGAGAACGAGCAGGCACACGGGGGCCATGAAGAAAGTGTAGCTGAGGGGGTCCAGCTTGAACTCGCTGCCCGTGAGCACGAGCTCGGCGACGACAGCCCTCGCGCACTCAGCAAACTGAGACACGCCCTGCAACATGAAGCCGACGAACACGAAATTCAGCTCCCCGTGAACGCAGAGGGAGGAGCCCAAGATGACCCAAGCGATCACGACGACGCGCTGGCGGTTGAAGAACTGCAGCCCTGCCAGCGCGGAGAAGGTGAAAACGAGCACGACGTTCGCCTCCTTCATGAACTGCAGGAACGCGACGCTGCAATACAGGTAGGCCCTGTTGGAGCCGTACAGCATGATCGCAAAGAGGAAGCCGATGGGCGCCAGATACTTGTAAAGCTTCGCTAACCTCCCCTTGCACGCCTCCACGCTGGGCATGGCAGACGGCCGCACCAGCAGCACCAGCGAGGTCAGCAGCAGGCTGGCGGACATGTGCATGGCCGTTAGGAACATCGGGTGCGGGAAGCGCCCCTTGTGCATCAGGTACTTGTTGAAGTTGATGAGACCACCGCTCAGCGCGATGTAGCCTGTGCACAACGCCAACGTCTTCAGCACCTGGGCAAGAGAGAAGCCGCCGCTGGTAGTCTCCGCCATCGTTGATTCACTGGTCGGCTTGAAGGCAGCACGGTGTGATGGATCGTAATATGGAACTGGGCGGACTTGTCAGGCTTGAGCTCAAACAGTTACGGAGGTGCATGTCAGGGAAGACAAAGGCGACAACGAGTAAAACGACAAAAACGAGGAAGCGGAGGAAGGGAAGAAGCATGAGGACGGAGAGGGGGAAGGAGGCGGAGGTGGAGGAGGGGAAAGGCAGGGAGCGGGGGACGGGAACGCAGGCAGAGGCGGAGGAGAAAAAGATCTGGCTCTTGGCGTACAGTGTTGAGACCCTGTTTTCCCTGTCCCTGATGTCGTTTCTTTCCCCCTGGCCTCCAGTAGCATGCTGACGGCCGTGTTCCTCATACCTGACCTCCTCCATCCTCCATCCTTCCTCTCGCCGCACATGTGGTGCCTTCGCTCCTCTCATCCCTCCTCCTTCCTCTTCCTCTTCCTCCTTCCTTCCATCCCTCCCTGTCTCCTCCCCTCTCTCCTTCCTCCCCGCTCTCCTGCCTCCTCCTGCATCTCCTCCCCCCTGGTTCCCCCCCCCCCTCCCGCTCTCTCGCGCTGTGAAATGCGCACTTCGGCACTGCCGCACGTGTATCTGTGGACGTACTCGCCCTGGACCCAACAGCAGATGGTAGTGGAAAACATGAAGAGAGGACGAGGGGGAACATTTGTTTTGCACTCATCCCCCATGTAAGGGCCGAGCGCGGCGGCAGCATACCGGGAGCTATCTACCCATCTACCCCGAGGCCGACTCCACAGCCTTGCAAGGAGCGACCAACACCATCCCTCCGGTCGGGCTTTCACACCATTCAGGCTAAACGCGAGCATCAACATACTCGAACACACTTGAGGTTCCCACTTGTTTAGGTTTCCGACCACTCAAAGAGGCCCAAGAGGCCTCAAATATAGCTCCAAGACAACCTAAGAGGTCCCCCTAAGGGCCCAAAATCGGCCCAAGAGGACCGCAAGATCGCCCAAGAGCCCCCCAAGAGGGCCCCAAGACGGCCCCCAAACGCTCCAATTAGGCACCAAGACGGCCCAGAGAAGCCTCCAAGATGGCCTCCGCAGGCGTCATAATGGGTCAAGAGCCAACTAAGACGGCCCAAAGGCCTCAATCCGCCGGCCCCCTTGTGGGGCCACCAGGCCGCGAGGCGCGGGATTCGCAGTTTCCTGTACCAGTTGTAGCTTGTAGTTTCCAGTGTTACAGTTCTGCTTATTGCTGGTTACTGTAACTAGTTGATTGACCGCGCGAGCGGGGGGGAAGGCCCAAACCGGCTTTTTAGCACCCCCTGGGCGCGTTGTCTGAATTGCTGGGGGGGCTCGAAATCGACACCCCTCACGCAGATCCGCGGGGTCAGGGTCCAAAAACACATGGGATTTGCCACATTTCTGAAATTCGGTGCCACCCCTCACGCAGATCCGCGGGGTCAGGGTCCAAAAACATAGGGGATTTGCCACATTTCTGAAATTCGGTGCCACCCCTCACGCAGATCCGCGGGGTCAGGGTCCAAAAACACATGGGATTTGCACATTTCTGAAATTCGGAAGTCAGGGTCCAAAAATTTGCCACAGGGGATTTGCCACATTTCTGAAATTCGGTGCCACCCCTCACGCAGATCCGCGGGGTCAGGGTCCAAAAACACAGGGGATTTGCCACATTTCTGAAATTCGGTGCCACCCCTCACGCAGATCCGCGGGGTCAGGGTCCAAAAACACAGGGGATTTGCCACATTTCTGAAATTCGGTGCCACCCCTCACGCAGATCCGCGGGGTCAGGGTCCAAAAACACAGGGGATTTGCCACATTTCTGAAATTCGGTGCCACCCCTCACGCAGATCCGCGGGGTCAGGGTCCAAAAACACAGGGGATTTGCCACATTTCTGAAATTCGGTGCCACCCTTCACGCACATCCATCGCAAGGCGTGGTAACCCAAACTGCGAGAACTCCCTCGGCCCTTTAATCGCAAGGTGTGGTAACCAAGCCCGTAAACCATACACGTCTTACCAATCGCCAGGTGTGGTAACCCCTCTTGTGATCAGTTGGTTTTGCTGATTGCGAATCGGCTTCGCATGAAGTTTCGATACTGCTTCACGACAGCGCCAAGGCCTCATGACTTAGCTCTTCCATGGCCCATTCTCCGAGAGAGGGGGCCGGCGGTAGGGGGCGAAGCCCTTACGGATATAGGCCCAAAGACGCCCCCAAGAGACCCCCAAGAGGTCCACAGGATGTTCCCAGGAGGCTGCAAGGAAGCCCCTAAGAGACCTCCTCCTCCTCCTCCTCCTCCTCCTCCTGCTCCTCCTCCTGCCCTCCTACCGCGCTGACCTAGAAGAGGGCGATCTCAAGACCCGCCTCAGTTCAGATAGCTCGCTGAACTGCCGTGGGGCGTGAGCTCGACCTCCCCCCCTACCGCGCGGACGAAGACGCGGTCGAGGTCAAGACCCGTTCCAATTCAGACCAGTCGTCGGAATTGCGCTGTTCCTGCACTCTGTCTCCTTCCTGCTGCGCTGTTGCACAGGCACGGTGGCGGGGTTTGCCGCAGACAGCTGGATGGAGTATCCTCTTCACCCAGTGGAGGGCCGCCAATCCAACCTCGCTGTCGCCGGCGGAAAAAAGTAGCCATGGTATCGCGGCAGGTGGATGGCCCATCATGGGGAAACCGTCGGCCATCTACCTCACCTGCACAAAACGTCAGTTTGACATCGCAGAGATAGAGAGAGAGAGAGAGAGCGAGGGAGGGAGGGAGAGAGAGAGAGAGAAACAGAGACAGAGACAACAGAGACAGAGAGGCAGAAACACAGAGACAGCACCACACGTATAGATGTACACAAGTATGTCTGTATGTAGAGCGATGTATAAACATATATAGAGAGAGGGAGGGAGAGAGGTGGGTCGGTCAGAAGATATCGCACCAGAACTGTTACATAAGCACAGCACGGCCAGCGCCACGCAGTGGCAACGAAGGCATCGCATCCATCAAACAAATCAGGAACGCCACACGGGCGCAACTACTGCAAGCAAGCTCATGTAACGATATGTGCATTGTAAGACAAGGCGGAGCCTGGTGCCATGCGCGTGCATGCCCCGGGTCCCACACGGCCAACGGTATGCCACGCGGGAAGCAGCTCAGAGGGAGGGGAACAATGGGAGGCAATAGAGAGAGGGGGGGGGACAGAGGGAGAAGACATAATATCCACGCCGTGCAGGTCAGCCACGAAGGAGAGATGAGGAAGGAGAAACAGGTGAGGAGGGATGGGTTAAAGTGCTCAGCTTGCGTCGAGGCGTGGGGCGAGAGAAAGAAGGGCCAGGCGGGAAGAGAGTCTCACAGCGGGCGTCGATCACCCAACCCGGGTCCCGAGGCGCTTGGGAGGGGCAGCATGGCCGAGAGCGGCCGCGCGCCTTGAGGGCAACGGTGCGGCTGCCAATCTCCACCATCGCGGACTAGAGGCAGCTCGGGTGTGTAGTCCGCCAGCCCACTTGCGGGGCCACCAGGCTGCGCGGCTGAGGAATCCAGTTGCAAGTGTCATAGTTATACTTCTGTCGGCTTCCTACTATAACTTGCTGTCCGTGCGAGGGGGGGAGGACCGAAAACCACTCTGGCCACCACGCCCGAGTCGCGTTGCCTGAATTTCGGGCGGACCTGGGACACGTGAAGATAACCTCAGGAGGTCGTTAGATTGGGGGATCCTCCCTGCTGTTTCTCTCGGCTGGCAATCATAACCAGCCTCGAACTTATCCCTATCCCTGAGATTGACACGCCCAAAGGCGATGACAATCTTAGGGATGCACCCCCAGAAACTGAGGGAACCCCTAAGATCGCCATCGTGACGAGGCGATGCACAACATATGGATAGGGATAGGTTCCAGGCTGGTAAAATAAACTCCGCCCCTCCTCCTCCTCCTCCTCATCATCATCATTATCTTCCCCCTCCTCCCCCCCTCCACCTCCTGCTCATCCTCCTTCTCCTCTTTCTCTTCTTTCGCGTCACCCCCCCTCCTCATTCCCTCTCCTCCTCCTCCTCCTCCTCCTCATATTCCTCCTCCTTTTCGTCATCCTCCTCGTCGTCGTCCTCCTCCTCGTCGTCGTCCTCCTCCTCCTCCTCCTCGCAATCGCAATCGCATTCTAATCGTAGTCGTAGTCGTAGTCGTGGTCGTGGTCGCGGTCGTTTTTTTTTCTCCCCCCACAACCAGGAGGACGCCGACCCACACAGCAGCAAACCAATGGCAATCTCACCGTGCCCGTGAGGTGGACCCCGAAGTCTGGCCAGAACAACCCAGCGGACAACCAATCGTGTCGGCCACGCTCGATACTGGGTGAAACTTTTTTTCCCGCGCAACGAATGGCCAGAAAATGTTGAATGCCTGAAGTGATCCACACTCCGGCTGCCAAGAGAATCTGGTAAATGAGTCTTCTGGCGTGGTTCCCAAGGCCTCGGACGGCGCCAACAAAGTCCGCGCAGAACGGCTGAGGCGGCACCTATGGATTACCCTACAAGGTCAACGCCAAAACAGCTAGGTGGACAGAGGCATTGCCGGGTGGACGCCAGCGCGTCGCACAAAGCGCGGGAAGGGGGAGGAGGAAAGAAGAAGAACGGGAAGAAGAGGGGCGACGGCGCAGTGCCCGGCGCAGTGCGAATGTCCCCACGCAGCCCAAACGGCAGCCAAGAGGATGCAAAACAAAACGCGCAGCGGCAAGCCAGAGGGGAAGAGGGGGGAAGGAAGCCAACGAAACGAACGAGAGCGAAAGGAAGCGAGCGAGAACGAAAACAAGGAGGACGTAGACATACACAAATACTGAAAAGTATAATTATGAGGCAGCGCCCGCCAGCGGACGCTGGAAGCTCGCTGAATAATAGGAGCCCGTCCGGCGGGCACGCCCGCAACATGCACGCGCACATCGAACGACTCAAGACAACGCGAGCCTGCGGGGAGGAGGACTCGAGGACACGAGGCGGCGCGCTGTAGCCAGCCAGGCTAACCAGAGGCGGCAGGGGAGGCACAAACCCCCGCAGACCTCACCCGAGGTCAGTGACGACGAAGGACACCGGCGTAGTCGCTGGCGTTGACGCTGGCGTCGGTGCTGGTTTCGGTGCTGCGCCAGCGTAGGTGCTGATGCTGGTGATGACCTCGGTGCTGGCGTGAGCGCTGGTGCTACTGCTGGCGCAGATGCCGATATTCGCGTTGGCGTCAGTATTGGCGCCGTCGCAGGTGTAGACGCTGGCGTTGGTGCCACTGCACTCGCTCGCCCGCATGCTGAC